GATGCTTCGAGACAGGGCTTGGGATGTGTCCTGATGCAGGACGGCCAGGTCGTTGCATATGCTTCACGTCAGCTTAAGCCTCATGAGCAGAACTATTCGACGCACGACTTGGAGTTAGTAGCAGTCGTACATGCTCTCAAGATCTGGCGACATTATCTTTACGGCGGACGTTGCGAGATTTTTACAGATCATAAGAGCCTGCAGTACATCTTCACGCAGAAGGAGCTCAATATGAGGCAGCGCCGTTGGCTCGAACTTGTTAAGGATTACGACTGCTCTATTCAGTACCATCCGGGAAAGGCGAACGTCGTTGCGGATGCCCTAAGCCGAAAGGTGAGGGGTGACTTGACGTACGTCATTACGCAGCAGAGTCCGTTGATTCATGAGTTTGCCCGGATGCAGCTTCAGGCGATTGATGCACTTCCCATTGCCATTTCGGGAAGTACCAGTGCCAGTGTCAGTGCCATGCAGCTTCAGCTGACGCTGAGAGAGAGAATCCGACGAGAGCAGGCTTCTGACGAGTTCATTCGTGTTATGGAGGCCAAGGTTCGCGCCGGAGGCGTTAAGGATTTCCAGTTAGGTGCCGATGGTGCCTTAGAGTTCAAAGGCAGGATCGTGGTCCCGAAGGTCGAGGCGTTGCGGAAGGAGATTTTATCAGAGGCTCATACCGCACCCTATCTGGCCCATCCCGGGAGCACGAAGATGTATCACGACCTGAAAGGGTCGTTCTGGTGGCGAGGCATGAAGAAGGACGTCGCCGAGTTCGTCAGGAGATGTCTTACCTGTCAGCAAGTCAAAGCCGAACATCAGAGTCCGATCGGCCTCCTGCAGCCACTGCCGATTTCGAGGTGGAAGTGGGAGGAAGTCACGATGGATTTCGTTACGGGATTACCGAGGTCATCTGAACATCACGACGCTATCTGGGTCGTGGTCGACAGATTGACTAAGGTCGCGCATTTCTTACCCGTTTCGATGAAGATGTCTCTGGACAAGTTGGCTGAGATATATACCCGTGGGATCATTCGACTCCATGGAGTGCCCGTTACGATTGTATTCAGACAGAGATCCCAGATTCGTCAGTCGATTCTGGCACAGTTTACATGAGGCGATGGGCACGAAGTTAGAGTTCAGTTCAGCCTACCATCCGGAGACGGACGGTCAGACAGAGAGGACTATTCAGACACTTGAGGATATGCTTCGCGCTTTGGTTGTTGACAGGGGTGCT